CTTCTGCCTTGCACCAAGCTCAATTTATAGAGCTTATCAACTCACTTGAGCGCATGTGAACAAGCTGAACAGGACTCCTTTTGGGTGGTGCCGTGTCTAGCAATAGGCTGGAGGAATTCTTCTTGCAATCAAGCCTTTTGTCAACACGGCAATAAATGTCATGGATAAATTTCAACAATTACAACATAGTAATAAATGCCATGGAAGGTAAAAGAAAGAAAACTCTCCCATTTTCAACATTTTACACCACCTTTGAATGGGGCTGGAACATTTTTTTTTTTTTTTGAACAAGATTACATGGGGCGGGTAGAACCCTGCCCGGGTGGAGGGAATGCATCATGTGGTCAGAGACCACTTGGCCCCAAAGGCCGGATGCGGGGCTGGAACATTTTGTCAACAATTAATGCACAATTATAATTGTTTTATTATTGGCGTTACTCACGGGTGAACTGCAAATGTGGCAGTCATCGTGCATCATTTCCCAATAATAATGTTTGCTCTGTTTTTCTTTCTTTCTTTCATTCTATCTTTCTTTTTCTTTTTCTTTTTTTCTATGAAAAATCTTTTTCTAATCTTCTAAAGAAGATTGGAAAGGATTTCTTTTGTCAAACAAAGTGAAGGTGAACATACATGGACGGATATTTTATATAACGATGATTCCCTTTTAACGAATTAATGATAATTTAACAACCAATAATAATCAGGAGATTTTTGCCATTAAAAGGGATCTAATCTAATCATCTAAAGATATAGCATCATGATATTTTAAATTTTAAAATTCTTTTTGTGATATAATTAAAATTTATTTTTAATTTTTTTATACATTTTACAATCATTAAATAAATAAATGCATGTAATAATATGAGTTTTTTAGGGATAAAAGAGTTAATTATTAAATGATATATAAAATTATATACAAAAATTATATGCAAAAATTGTTGCTAAATTATTTTTTCTTTTAATAGTGAAGACCACCAAAATAACAATAGAGAGAACAATCAAATTTTTTTTTTTTAGTTCTTGAATTTCAATGTTAATTGAAACTATG